TAGCTAAGGGATCCCAGGGACAACCAGGATCAGCCATCCCCTGAATACACAGGGACCTCCTCTTATGTGCAGCTCTGGTTTGGTGTGAGCCTTTTGTCAAATTAAGTAGCAAATATCACCAAAGCCCCCAATACATCTCCGCAGATAACATGGGTACCTGAGAATGTCTCCAAGTTGTTGGCTAAAAATCTTGTACACTTTCTCCAATGATCTCTGTTCGGTTTGCTGCTCCTTAGATGTCATCTTTGGGATGACAGGAAAAGCAAACAGGCTTTGTGGTGCTCGAAGTTTTGCCAGGAAAAAGCCAGGAGCTCCTCCGTGTTCACCTGCTTCTCCCCCCCCCCCCCCCCCCCCCTCCGACTTTCCTGGGTGCTCCCTTCTCATTCTCATTCTCAGTTCCCAGTGACGCCAATCCTCTTACCACAGGCAAAAGTTTGCTCGCCAGGAGAAAACGTGCACATTTAGCTTGGAGATACAAACACCCTCTCTAACCATCTCCCAGACTGGTCTGCTCTGTGCTGATTCAAATATCCATGCACTGTTTAGTAAGAAGCCTGTTTCCAGAGTTAGGGACACTAATATTTTACAAAGATTTCTGTCACTGGTTGGACACAGAAGCACAAACGTGCTGTCTGATTCTAAACTCCAGAATGTGGAATTGTATGTGCTAAAATCTCTGTTGGAGAATCAGGACCACACAGCCATACACCCACAAAGCCTGGAGTGAGAAAGTTTCCGAATTGGGTGTGTAACATACAGGCTTTTGCTTTGCTGGAATCAGCAATCTTCCACCTGAACTGTCTTATTTGCATCAAACTTGAGCTAATATGCCTCTCCCTTTTCTGCTGATTAAAATAATTCAGGAAAGAAACTTGGTTCTAGAGACATATAGCTAGGACAAGAACGAGACTTTTCCTGCTAGCCTAAACTTGTAGACTCTTATCTCTCCTGGGCTTTTCTGGAAAAGGGCTCTGACATAGGTGGGCAGGGCAGGACCTCAATAAGAACTGTGACACTTAGACACTCAAAGGGATTGCCTGATAAAATGCTGCTCGGATGTCAGGTCTGAAGATGGTTTCATATCTTCACTGTAGTTTTCTTTGCAGGAAGAGATTTCCATCTCATGGAGCCCAGAGCTCACACCTGACGCTTCTTGTGGCTGTTAACTTGACATTTTCAGCCCCTGGAGCCTCCTGCCTTCTTGTCCTATTTATCTGTGGTGTGTCTGTCTGCCTTCAGTTTCCTAAGCAGGTTCCCAGCTGTGACTTGGCCTCTCCCCCTCTCTTTGCATTGCCTTCCTCTGCTCACCTTGCTAGCCTACTGGCTCAGATGCTGTCCCAGTGAGAACTATGTAAGTCCCTACACTTGCCAGGAATGGTGGCTGCACCTATACACCCGCATTAGGAAGATGAAGGCTGGATAATTGGGAGTTCCAGGACAACCTGGATTACACAGCGACAAGACCATTAAGAGCAACAATGCAGGCACTGTACCAGGCAGTGCTGTGTAGTAACATCTAGCCCTGTCAGTGAATTTGTGTTAATCACCACACCCCTTTGGGTGTGGCTTCAGGTGTGGACATGACCAGAAGGTAGAGGAGTGCAGCAGGTCAGGCTCCCTGGCTGGCATCGGAAGGAACAGGAACACCCACTGTTCTTTACTCTTATCTGTGTAAGTTGTTCCCCAATAAAACACCCATTTATCATTTATCTTGGGTCTAGTGAATTCACCAATCCCCTGCTTTCAGTGCGGCCATGACCCTGAACATACACACTCCTGTCTGTCAGGGAGAACACAGCAGTCTCTCCACATTAGGTGAGGGTAAGAGATGGGTCCAGGACTCACCTACAATCCCCAGGACCCTGCAGCAGAGATGAGGTTCCTCCCATTTCACTGTCCCCAAAATTCACTATTCTCAATTTCCAATCTCACTTCAGACCCTGGTCTCTTCCCCAAACGGCTTCTCCTCCTGACAGAGGTCCTATCCCAATGACACCATCTTTCTCGTCTGCATGCCTAGCCTAGGTTGTTGTGCCAGGTTTGTCCAGCCCTCCTTCCCCACCGTCACCTCTGTCTCACTCACTGTTAAATGCCATCAGTGGTGCTATCTTTTCCTTTTCCCAGAAGCTTGCACCCCACCTCCTGACACCATCCCAGGCCACACTGCTCTCTGGGCAGTGACCTTCAGTGGATTTCTGTTGCTAGTGAAATCATGCTCAGACGCTGACATGTACTACTTAGAATTTCAACTGAGCTTTTTCTGCCATCTCTCAGAAATTCCTCCAAGTGAGTCTCCTACGAGCAGTGAAACTGGGCCACTAAGGAGGCCCTGAGTATCTGACCGGCCTCAATTGTCCATTCTATTGGATGGGTCAGCACCTGAGAGGTCATTAGGGCACCATGTGGGAATGACATGTGTGAAGATGAGGACCTGGCTGGAGACAATCAGACCACCATGGCTGCAACCCAGTGAGTGATCGATCCACTGGTGAACTTGCTATCACACTGAGCTACTGGGAGGTGAGGCCTCACTGGGGAAGGGCATGTCCCTAGAGCCTCCATCTTGCCCTTGCCCCTTCCCGTTCCGGCTCCACTCTGCTTCCTATCCACCAAGTTGTGGGCATTTCTGCTTCCTGCTGGCCATTAGGTGAAGAGTCTCCCGCTGTTGTGATACCTTGCCTTATACTGGGCCCTGAATGCAGAGCTAGGTGGTTGTGCGCTGAACCTGTGGAACCATGAGCAAAATGACTCTTTCAGTGCCAGGTAACAGCTCAGTGGGAAAAGTGCTTGCTGTTTGCAAGAGCAGGGACTAGGTTTGGATCCTTGGCATGGTAGCATGTGTGCCTGCAACTCCAGTGCTGGGTAGGGGTGTGGTGGAGATAAATGGATCCTTGGAGCTCACTGAGCAGCCAGTTTAGCTGAAATGGTAAACTCCAGTGTCATAATTATGTTTGCTGTAATAAGGCACCATGACAAAGGTAACTTATAGAAGAAAGAGTTTATTTGGCTTATGGTTCCAGAGGGTTAGAGGCCATGGCCTTTGTGGTAGAGAGCATGGAAGCAGGCAGGCATGGAGCTGGAGCCATAGCTAAGAGCTTACATATTGATCCACAAGCACAAGGCAGGGAGAGCTAACCGGGAATGTCAAAGGCTTTTGAAACCTCTAAGCCACCCCCAGCCAGACACCTCCTCCACAAGGCTATACCTCCCAATCCTTCACAGACATTTCCACCAAGTGCAGATCAAGTATGAAAATATACAAGCCTGTGGGAGTCACTCTCATTCAAACTATCACATCGAGATTTGAAGAGCGACTATCTCAGAACAAATATAAGGTAGAAAGTGATAACGATAGAGACATATACATGATGTCAATTTCTGGCTTCCACATATGTAGGTGTATGCAGGCACAACTACAACTCCCCACCTCAAGAGTATGCGTGCTAACACACACACACACACACACACACACACACACACACACACACCTTTCTTCCTTTGAGGCCTGACAGGTGTGTGTTTGTCACACTGACCATGAAAGCTAACTAACACCTCTGAAGGTCTGAGTGACTTACTGCCAGCCTGTGTTTGGCTGTTTCTCACAGGAACTCACTCTGATCCAGCAGACAAACCTCACTGCACAAGTCCTGCCTTGTCCATTACCCCCCAGGCCACACAGACACCCTGACATACCTTTCCACACCGAGCACCACTCTGACTTTCAGCCTCTTTGGATTCTCATCACATGACTGGGCACACCTGGTATACCCACTTCCAGCTGGTTGTTCCCCCACAATTGAGTTCTACAGAAGGGGGCGTATTCTGTATTCCCAGAAATATTTTATACAAAAGACTTGAGGGGAGCCAGATAAACACAGTTATTCCATTTACAGCCGTGAGGTCACATTCTGTAAGTTCTGCATCTCAGATGCCCTTCTCCTGATGAGCAGCTGGGAAATGTTTCCCACAAACACTGTCCAGAATGTGTGGCCACAGCCATGACAGAGTCCCTCAGGGGACTCATTACCTTTCCCCCACATTTAGAAAAGAGGAGAGAGAGATAAATGTGAGGGACAGACAAACTACTAGATTCTGTCCATCTCAAAGGAAGGATGCAGAGAAAGCAGCCATAATCAGAAATCAGGAATGAGAATGCCTGAAAGATGCCAAGGTACGGAAGCTCTTTATACAAAGTGTTCTGGAGACACACAAGCACGTCAACACTGTGTCAACCCACACTGTTAATAAGACAATGCCCAGATGGATGGATGGGTGGATGAAGGCTGGATGGATGGATGGATGATGGATGAATGGATGGATGGATGGATGGGTAAGCAGGCTGTGGCCAGTACTGTGTCTTTGTTTATCTAAATAGGTGACCTGCTCCTTCAGGGTCAGGTCAAAGCCACTTTCCTTACCTTACTGACTCTCCTTAACCCCTCTTCTTAGTTCCCTCTCCTCACCTTGATCTCCTCACCTCACTCCCCCACACAAGTACCATTCTTAGGACTGAACAGAAGGGTCAGCTGTTCTCTAAAACCAGAAAGTGGCATTCTCCCACCAGGCTCCCCTAGAACATCCAAAACCCCACACAAGATGTTTTCAATTATTGATTTTGGAAATTCAAGGACTCTTTTGAAGCATGACTTTTGTTTGCATGTGACAATATGAAACTTCCAGATTTGAGAACTGAGAGGTCCAGTGATGACTGGAGGTTTGGGGCCAGAGGTTAGAGACTTTAGTAGGAAACTCTTCACTACACAGATAATCCCTGAAAACATGTTATCTGTTCACTGGAGACACAGATTTGATGGATAACAAGGATGATGTCAGCAATGTCAAAATTATCCAGTAACTGACAAGCCTATGTAAAGTCTCACAAAAAAGCCAGAGCTAGAACATCTCTCACCTAAGAGGAAGGCAGGGGAGAGATGGACACTGAAGGCCTCTGATACGGTCACAGTTAGAGAATCAGGACTGGCTGAGGCAGCCTTACTCACCGTGATCATCTGAGCCACGTAGCTCTCAGGCCCTGTGTATTCTGTCGGGTCCTTCACCTTCACCAGGACGATGAAGTACAAGTAATGCCACATGTTGTGCTCTGATTTAATGTGTTCTTCGAAGGAGACTGTCTTGTTGTCAAATTTGTCCCTCTCCAGGCCTGCAAAACACAGGAAACACTGTATGCAATTTTTCTGTTAATCATGACTTCTTCACATAATAAAAATGACCATTATTAAAAAATCAACAACAAACCTGCTTTCTGGAAGAGTGTGCCTCTTTAAAATACTGTTACAATTAGAAACAACAATACAGAAAAGCTCTAGATAAAAGAGGCTGTGGTTTATAGACTCATTCCCAACTAACATGTATTTTCCTCCCCGTGATCCTTGGGAGTGTGCAGTTCTATTACAGAGGTCAGAATTGCAGGTGATCTTAAATGTAGACCATATAAAACTATCAAACTCAACCAGGCCAAAAGCATAAGCGGAAAGAGACAATGATAATTGTTCAAGAAAAGGAAAGCATTTGCCACAGAAGCCAGGTAATCTGCATTTGATTACTGGAGTTCACAGAAGGTCCTGTTCAGCAGAGCACACCTGTAACCCTAACATTCCTACTGCACGGTGGGAAGCAGAGACCGGAGATATGCCTGGAAGCTCACAGGCATCAGAAACGCAAGAGAGACCCTGCCTCAAAACAAGGTGGAAGGCAAGAAGTGACTCCAAAGTTGTCCTCTGACCCCCACATGTATGTGCTGTGGCGCTCACACAGGCTGATGCTCGCGCACACTCACACACTCATACACACTCACAGGCACAATAAGGATTTCAGAAAGAAAACAACAAATAAAAGGAATGCTGGCTAATTGTGGCAGGAATAAAAAAAGAGATTCCTTTCCATCAAGGCCTTGGGTTAAAGGAAAGCATCTGAGTCGTGCCTTCAGTCACTTGCAACCAGAGACAGCCCTGAGCACACTGTGCAGGGGTAAGGACTCTCCTCAGGGCCCCTGGTCCATGACACTCAGGGAAGCTGGGGCTTGGGTGGCCACTTCAATTCTCAGGTGTCCTAGTCAGGGGTACTACTACTGTGATGAAGCACCATGGCCAAAAGTAAGCTGGGGAGAAGGGTTCATTTGGCTCACACTTCCACACCAGTCATCACTGAAGGAGTCAGGGCAGGAACCTGGAGGCAGGAGCTCATTGATACAGAGGCCATGGAGGGTGCTGCTTACTGGCTTGCTTCTTATGGCTTGCTCAGCCTGCTTTCTTGAAGACCCCAGGACTATCGGCCCAGGGATGGCACCACCCACAATGGGCTGGGCCTCCCTACTTCAGTCACTAATTAAGAAAATGCCTTACAGACTTGCCTACAGCCCCATCTTACGGAGGCATTTCCTTAATTGAGGTTCCCTCCCCTCTGATGACTCTAGCTTGTGTCAAATTGAAATAAAACTTTACAGCCCAATCAATCCCTTGTCAACACAAAAACATCACTGTAAAGTCACAACCTTTCCTTTCTTGTTCATCCCCAAGATCACACATTTAATATAAACATCACATTGTAAAACATTTTACAAACTTAAAAGTCCCACAGCCTTACAAACTCAAAAAACAGTTCCTCCTCTTTAAAAGACCCCAAGTCTCTTTTAAAATCAAAAGTCTCTAAACTGTGGGTCCTATAAAATAAGAAAATAAGTTAAATAATAAATTCTTACTTCAAGAGGGAAGAGTCAGAGCACAGTTAAAATCAGATCAAAGCAAAACCAAGCTCCAACAGCGTAAACAACTCAACGTTCAATGTCTGGATTCTTTATTATCTTCTGGGCTCCTTCAAGGGGCTTGGGTCGCTCCTCCAGCACCACACTGAGCTGCACACACAGCTCATACTCTAAGCTGAGCCAGGCTCCACTCCACTGCGGCTGCTGTCCTTGATGGTCACCTCACAGCACTGGCATCTCCAAACGCCTGGGACTTCCCGCTGCACCTGGGCTGCACTCCCACCAATACCCTTTCCTGGGGTCTCTTCATGGTGACAAGCCTCGGCTTCTCTTCATGACCGCTTTAATCCTAGGGCTGCCACTGCTACTGAGGCTGCACCTTCACCAATGGCTTCTTCGGTGTAGGAGAAACTGCGGCCGGCCTACCCAAGCCCCAGTCACCCTGCCTCAGGTGCCCAGGCCAGCCCACACGAGCATGCGCGGCAGGCACTTCCTCCCTGAACCAAACTGCCAAGCCTGCCTCAATGCCCAGAGACTACTGACGAAGAGACACCTGACCAGAGACACCAATGAGAAAAGGACAACGCAGCAGAGTCAGCCGCTGAGCAAACAGAACCTTGGGAGTGGGTATAAAGGCAGGCCTACCTTCCTGAATAAATGAGTCTGCCACTCACTGACTCCCAGTGCCTGAGTCCTTGGTGCTGCGTCTTCTCACCCCCTCCCCCAACGGGTGTCTGAGCAGGGTCACCTGCAACACTTCTGGGCTTTCCCACAGCCAAGCCTCAGCTGCTCCTCCACGCCCCCTTCATGCCTTCAGAACCAGTAACACCTGGGTGACACTTCCATTACCAAGTACAACCTTCTGTGTGCTCTCTGAAACACTTCCTCAAGATTTCACTTCCTCAATGATGCCGCTTATTGTCTCAGCTCCACCTAACCAGCATCAGTTGTCCCAGCAAAGGTTTCACGTCAATGGCGCTAGTCTCTTGTTAATCGCAACTAATTCTTCAGCCCCAGCTGACTAGAACCACATCTTAAGTCCGAATAACAAATGGCTCTGATAGCCTTTAAACCTCCCCCTGAAACTTCACAAGCCAGCCTTCCACCATCCACAATGACTTCAACATTCTTGTCTTCCAAGCTCCTACAGAACAGCCCACTGAGCTCTCAACACTCAATGGCTTTTCTAGCCTAAAATTCCAAACTCCTTCCACGATCCTCCCCAAAACACAAGGCCAGGTCTGTCACAGCAACACCCCACCATCCTGGCACAATTTATGTCCTGTTTAGTAACCCTATTGCTTCCATGAGGCACCACGACGAGGAGCAAACTGGAAGGAAAGAGTTTGTTTGGCTCACACTCCCAATTCATAGACTATCCATGAAGGAAGTCGAGGCAGGAACGCAAGCAGGGCTGGGACCTGGAGACAGGAGCTGATGCTTACTGGCCTTCTTATGGGAGGATTTGAGTGGTCAGGCTTTTCTCTTCAAGCGAGGAGCTTATGAAGACAGTGAATGGAGAGGAAGAGAAACATCCATGGGAAAACAACTCTTACTGGTGTGGGAGACGGGATGTCAGGGTTGAGTTCATCTTTGCTGTTCAGATAGTAGAGGAGACGCCAGGAAACTGAGTTCCAGTCCTGACTACTCCTTCCCTGTGCACATTTCAAAGGTCATGAAGAAACCTTTCTTTAAGCATGTTACAAAACAAATACATTTAAGAATATCTGTCCCCAGTGATGGGTTGACTTTTGAAGTTGTTATTGGATTTTTTTTTATGAAAATGCTGTATAAAATACAGCCATCTGGTGATGGTACCTCATTTCACTTGACCCATTATCAGTTCATCGTGTCGGACATGAGCTCCAATGTGTTCCCACCACAGCCTCCCTCTGGTTATATAGTGGCTACTCCAGTGTTGTTGTCCAAGTCATTATCCCAGGAGTCATCCTTGGCTTTTCTCTGCTTCTCACACGCCATACCCCATCCACGTTGAAATTCCTCTATTTCTTCTTCAGCACATATCCACATGCGTCTGTCTGTGTTGAAGGGCCTCCTCTGCTGAGGCTGTGCTCTGAGCTATTGCCTTCCGGTGTGTGTGTGGATCATCTCATTATCGGCCCAGGCTGCCTGTGTCCACCTGTGCCCTCTACTCCCAGCAGGGGAGCTGGAGTCACTCCTGGAAAACCTCACAATGTGGAGGCTCTGCTTGGCTGTGGCCCTCACAGCAGCCCCTCACAACAGCCGGTAGAGAGGGCTTACACAGTATTAGATAAAACACAGATGTTAAGATTTAGACGTCCAGTGACAGCTGAATTCCATATAGATGGTGGAGATAGTGTGTGGGGGCGGGCAGGGTATGGGACTCCTACTCTGGCTCTCTCTGACCTACTCACTTGAGGCAGGTTCTCATACTGAAGCTGGAGACACACTGACAGCTAGCAACTCAGAGTTGCTCATGTCTCCGTCTCCATGAGGCAGGGGTTAACAACCCTGCCTGTAGCGGTGCCAGGCGTTTCATGTGGATGCTGAGTTCTGAACTCAGGTCTCAGGCTTGAAACCTTGGCCACTGAATTCTCTCTCCAGCTCCAGAATTTTTGATTGGAGTAAGTGATGCCTAGGGAATAGGTTGGGTTGTGTCCATGAGGCTGTTTCCAGAGACAGCCAACTGATAGGAGAAAACCTCCTTTGAATGTAGGAGAAACCATCCCACAGGCCAGACTAAAAGGACTGCATCAGGATGGAAGAAGGCAGCTAAGTGCCAGCCTTCTGTGTTCTGCTTCCTTATCTACTAAGGTGTGAGTCAGCAGCCCCCCCCACCCACCCACACAGGCAGGACAGGTCCCA